AACAATTACTAGATAATTATCAATTTTTAATTGCAAATTAATTATTAGCTATTTTTCTATTGGGAATTTAGTTAATTGGTTATAAATAAGCTAATAAAATAAAATAAATTTTAATAATATTTTAAGTCAAATAGATTAAATTAAATATCAAAGTAGAGTTATTTTTATAAACTTTAGACTCTAAAGTTTAGAGTAAAGTTGTCAATAGTTTTTAATATACTTATTAATAGTTTTCATTACAAACGTTTGATATTGAACATGTTAAGAAATAATATAAATGTTTGATATTTCAATCTATGAGTTCAACACATTTAAAATAATAAACTTAAAGGATTCAAACTTAACTTGAAACGACTTTTGTTTAATATTCATATAAAGCAATGTCTATTATAATAAAATATTACCGAAGTATACAGTAGTGATGGAATTTGACAGTAAATGAATACATTTTAGTAATAACAATGCTTCAAATATTATAACCTTAAACCAAAAGTTGAATGCATTTACAAAATAATGATTAAAACTTGAATATAAATCAAAATCCATATTTAGTAATACCTGCCATAAAGTCACATAAAAGATTAACAATTACTAGATAATTATCAATTTTTAATTGCAAATTAATTATTAGCTATTTTTCTATTGGGAATTTAGTTAATTGGTTATAAATAAGCTAATAAAATAAAATAAATTTTAATAATATTTTAAGTAAAATAGATTAAATTAAATATCAAAGTAGAGTTATTTTTATAAACTTTAGAGTCTATAGTTTAGAGTAAAGTTGTCAATAGTTTTTAATATACTTGTTAATAATTTTCATTACAAACGTTTGATATTGAACATGTTAAGAAATAATATAAATGTTTGATATTTCAATCTATGAGTTGAACACATTTAAAATAATAAACTAAAAGGATTCAAACTTAACTTGAAACGACTTTTGTTTAATATTGATATAAAGCAATGTCTATTATAATAAAATATTACAGAAGTATACAGCAGTGATGAAATTTTACAGTAAATTAATACATTTTAGTGATAACAATGCTTCAAATATTATAACCTTAAACCAAAAGTTGAATGCATTTACAAAATAATGATTAAAACTTGAATATAAATCAAAATCCATATTTAGTAATACCTGCCATAAAGTCACATAAAAGATGAAATTATTTTAGACTACTGTTATGACTTCTGTTGTCGAGTGCTTTAGACTTATATTCATTTTAACCATTTTATCTTAATTAAAAGCCATTCATTATATTAGTTTTATCATAATTTTTTAATATCCCAGAAAATAGAGACCAATTTTTATACTATAAACTTATTTGAATCGGAAGTATATCTTAATCTCAATAATGTCTGGCATTATAGAGAAGATGTCATTAAAAGAAGTGATTCGTCTGAACCAAGAATTACAAACTCTGATGAAAAAGCCTGCTTTTGGTCCCCGAAGAAGGGCTGGCATTCCAATGACTTTACTGCAGAAACTTCGCAACGAACCGATGACTCTGGATCTGTTGGTGCGGACCAAAGTAGGCGTAACTGTGAACAAAGCCCGTGGATTCAACTTCTCGCCAGAGACCACAATATTGGCGACACAACTGGTGAACGAATGGTCACAACTTCTTCCCATATATGAGGACCGAAAGAAACCTCGGAAGTCATCGGATGGCAAAAGAGTTAGTTTTCGGGAACCAAATGACGAGAAGAATCAAACGACTGATTACGCGAAGAATAAGCGAATTGAAGACCAGAAGAAGAAATTGATTAAAGACGCGAAGATTGAAAATATGAAGTCAAAGGCCATTAAAAAGGCGATTAATATGCGAAACGCCGACAAAGAGAATAAGAGACCAAATGTTGAGAAGAAGAATCCATACGCGGAGGAGAAATCGACGGTTCAAGAGTACGAAAGACAAAAGTCTATAGAGGTTTGGGAGCAGTTTCTGGAGGAGAGACGACAACTTCGTGCCAAAAAAGTGCTTCCGTTCATGAGTTCGACCCCTAATTTGTCTCAAAGAAAGCTCTTGAAGACAAAGTCGATTTTGAAGAAACCAAAACTGCCACCCATTGGACAGTTACCCGAATACAGCACCGATCGTAAGAGACAGAGACCGGACGATGATATTGAATACGATGTCAAGCCCTCATATCTGGGCCCTTCGACCTCGACATCACCGGCGCACACACCCAGTGGTTCGGGCGGTAGTCGTCTCTATCAGGATATAATTGAAGCGCGAAAACGTAAAAATGATAAAAAGCGCGAAGAAATAGCCAAAAAGTTCAAGACTACTGGAGTGATTGGGTACGATCGGTGGGCCAACCCGAAGGGAGTCCACAAACATCAGGCTTATACAGACAAACCTAAGGTCGAGAACTGGCCGGTGCCCAAGACTAAGCCATTTATTACGCCAATCGATCGCTTGAAAATAATTCAGTCCAGAAGTCTAGACAATTTACAGCCGTCGACATCGTCGGCCACTCCGGAGTTCCTCAAAGACCCCAATGACTTGGAACTCAATATATCGCGAGCAAGGTCATCCAAAGTGTTGGGCAAAAATATAAGGCGAGTGGAGCACCGGCCGACCTGGCTGTCCAAGTGAGCACCTGGTTATCGAAATGAACTAACTGTATATATATTAGTGACACATCTTTTCTTAGGTGTAATTTTTATGACGATTTTCATAACCAGTTTGTGTTTTCATTTATATTTATTTTTTAATTTATTCTGTATTTTAAAATGCATGTAACATTTCTGTATATTTCCTTTACTTTTTTTTTATTTTTTACGTTAAGTTTTTATGACTACACACATACTCTATTGAATCGTTAACAGTGTGTTTATTTCCTCTGAATTTATCATTTAATGAATTTGTTAAAAAAGTTTTGTAAATTATGTTGAGATTAAGAGTTACAGACGTAAGTTGTTTGACAATTGAATATTAATTTTTTACTTTGAATATTTTAACTAAAGTTATGAAAAATGTTTGTTTTTGTTTGAAATCTCATGTCATATCAGAAAATTTGATTTTTGTTTTAATTCCAATTATGCTGTCAATTGAATTGGTTGTGAAATGTTTATAATAAGCTATTATTAAAGTGATTTCTATAATTCTCAATTGAATAGTAAATAAAATGACTAATTATTAATGGATGAGTTTTGATTATATCAATCAAATGTGTAATTAATAATAATTCAATGAAATTAACTCTTTAAAGCGTTTTTAATAAACTTGAGATCAGGGAAAGTGGTTATCAAGCAATCGACAAGTGATTTTCAATGCTATTTCATAATAAACATCTAATCATTAATAAAATATAATCTAAAATTTATAATTAAATGATTGATAGAAATATTTTTCAATTGAAAGTAAGTGCGAAATGAAATGAACAAAACTTAATGTAAAAAACTGGTTAAGAGTTGTGGCCTTAAAAATAGTTCCTTAAAGTCAATTGCATTTGAAGTATGTATTCAAATGTGAAAAGTATTGAGACTTTTATTGCATTCTTGATGTCTGAATGTCTGACAATCACTTTATTCTTTCATTTCAATGTATTTCTGTTTTATTAATATTAAAATAGTTTTATAATATAGTGATAGATGTCTGGTGTCGGCGCTCACGTATGACTTCCTACTGAACAGGTATATCAATACGGAATATTTTTATATATATTTTTTCATGTTTCAAACAACTCTAACAAAACTTTCATTCATTTTTATTCTAACTAAATAAATAGTATATCCACTCATTGACTGTAAGCTATCATATCATTTGCAAGTAAATGTAAATAAAATGATATCGAAAATACAAATTTGTGTATTTTTAGAAATTTTTATATAAAAATAAATGTCTTTCGATAAATGTATTAATAAGTCGATAATATTCTGATGATTTCGTGATCGACATAAGATTAACGATAGGAAAAAACAAACATTTAAATAAAAAACAAGTGAATAGATAATCGGCGAGGAAAACACCAACAATTTATTTTTATATTTTTGTGTTTTGTATATAATTTATTCAAATATTCCTAACATAAGTGTTTTATTAATGTAGTCAAGTATATACAATATACACAATATACAGTACTACGGTATCACAAAAAAGTAAGTCATTTCCAAATGTAATGCAGAATACGATTGAAATGATAATCAGAGAAATGTAATAAAATAGTGTACACTAGTAGTGGTGTACAAATGACTTGACAGAATTGCTTTAAACCAAAATGCGATCAAAGTTTAGTGTCTGCTATGACAACAGCACTCAACAACTTTATATCCCAATGACTCCAATGCATACAACTTGTTGTCTCTATAATAGCAGTTAATTCTCGAATAAATACAAAAATTTATCATTTTACATAATTATATGACCACAATATGTAGCACAGGTTTTACTGTACTTTATCTGAAAATTCTCCCCTAAAACTAACAATACTGTATTATGTGTTATCACCGGAATCACAAATAAATTTTGTTTTTCATTTTTCATGCACAGAATCAACCTTAAGGTCGGGACAATAGCGTCCATATGATATACAGTCGACAGTCAACTCAATGATATTTTTAATTCAAGTCCAGAACTTCCATCCAATGCTGCAGTCGATGATAAATATACTAATAATTCAAATATAAATTCTTTGTAACATATATATAATCGCAACATATTCTTATGTGTGAATCATATGCAAAAAATAGTGAAATTTGAATGTGTGAATATGTTTGCAAAATGAAATGTGTAATATTAAACAGTTAATATAAAAAGTAAAATTTAATGTGAATACAATATTATATTATAATAAGCAAGTGAACATTAAATGTGTTGGCAATTGTCGTATTTGGAATAAAAGTGCAAATTATTATTATTATTTAAATCCAAGTATTGTATGAAACGCCTACTTACTATTTACTGTTCATGTGACAAACACCATTATTTGGCTATAATCTTAACACACGGAATAATATAAAAGTAGACCTAAAGTAATAATTATTTCAAAATCAAATACAGTGCTAATAAAAAAGTGTTTGTTTGGAAATGTAATGTACGCTAACGTGAGCTGAGGTGAGAATGTACTCAACTGTGGTTTGATAAGAATAATATACAGTCATATTTAATAGTAATATGGATATGAATATAAGCTATAATAAAGCGCTGAATCACAAACAAGAGCCTCATATACAGCGAGAATTGAATAATTGAATCAAAAGTTTATTTCAATTCATATCGCATTGCGTTTGAGTGTAGTTTAGGTTTTTTGAATTATTGCATTCACTCTATCATATCAGCCGTTAGTCTGCAATAAATTCTTAACATTAATAGACACTTCTCTCTCACTCACTGTATCTGTTCATCAGATTTGTCAATAGTTTTTGCGACACAAACCCCACACAAAGTTTACGATCATTTTGTTATAATAGTTAAGAATAAGATTTAATAAAAATTTATTTTCAAAAATGTTTGGTCGCGAAGAGTCAGTGAACAAACTTTTGATGAGAAACGTGTCGACAGATTGGTCTCAATTCCCGGGCATTCCCTATGCCTTTGACTTCGAGGCCAACTTCGCGCGTGACTTCCATCGGCAATGGCTTTACCACAACTGGTGGGTCTCCCTCTACGTGTGCGTCCTATACGTGACCGTCGTATTAGTCGGACAACACGTGATGTCCAAAAAGGCCAAACCATTTGGGTTGAGATCATTGCTGTTCTGTTGGAACACCTTTTTAGCCATCTTCTCAATTCTGGGGACAATCCGATGTCTGCCAGAGTTTGTGTCCGTCATCAAGACATCGGGTCTGGAGTCGTCGTACTGTGTGAGCTCCTACTACTATGACGTGCGGCTCACCTTCTGGTACTGGGTGTTCGTGTGGTCCAAAGTGGTTGAGTTGGGCGACACTGTCTTCATAATAGTGCGCAAACAGAAACTCATTCCTCTTCATTGGATACATCACGTGCTCACCCTATCCTATGCCTTCTTCGTGATCGGTGAGGCGCCTGCCAGTGCCCGATGGATGGTTAACATGAACTTCACCATCCACTCAGTCATGTACACCTACTATGCACTGAAAGCCATACGAGTGCCCGTTTCCCGAAGCCTGGCGATGGCCATCACCACCGCACAGATACTTCAGATGATGTTCGGGCTCTACATTAACTTCTATGCCTTTTACCAGAAATGGTTGGGACACAAGTGCGACACATCGATGT